GCTACTTTAAGTTTAAGCAAATTCCTTATTAAGAGAGAGAGAGAGAGAGAGAGAGAGAGAGACAGACAGACAGACAGACAGACAGACAGACAGACAGACAGACAGACAGACAGAGAGTAAGACAGAGAGAGAGAGAGAAACAGACAGACAGAGAAAGACAACGAGAGACCAGACAGATAAACAGCAAGTGAGTGAGAAATACATAAAAAGACAGACAGACAAACAGACAGACAGACAGACAGACAGACAGACAGACAGACCGACAGACAGACAGACAGACAGAGAAAGACAAACAGAGACCAGACAGATAGACAGCAAGTGAGTGACAAATACATAAAGAGACAGACAGACAGACAGACAGACAGACAGACAGACAGACAGACAGACAGACAGACAAAGAAAAATAGTGAGGGAGACCAAACAGACAGACAGAGAGTGAATGGCAGACAGAGAGTGAGTGAGAGACAGACAGACAGACAAGGTGGGAGTGCCCAGGACCTACTTAAAATCTATATGTTGAATTTGGCATGACAATATTGAATTTGATCTGACAATTTTGAATTTGAACTTGCATGTGACGTCACAAATTGTCTTTGGTAAGTTTGAACTTTCTATTGTTACATCTGACAGTGCTATTTTTTATGTTTAAGCTTCCTAGCGTTACATTAGCTCTCTCTATTTTGGTGTTTGAACTTTCTATGTTGAATTTGATTTGACTATGTTGAAATAATTCTGTTATGTTTCATTTGAATCATCTTACGCGATATTTGATCCTGAAAAGGTGTATTACATTTTTTTCTTTATTTCCCTATTTTACTTTTCTACATTTGACACTGACTGTAGTATTTCCTCTTATAGTGGGGCAGCTAATTGCAAAAATCAGCCGAATCATTCACATTGTCATACAAGCACCAAAATTGGCACACATATCCATTATGACATGCATATTCATAAATCAAACGTTTACCTCGCAATTTTTTTCAAAATGGCCGCCATTTTCAAGATGGCCGCCATTGCCGGTATGCGCAACCCTATAATGTCACACAGCATGAGGCAGTAGAGCAAATTATTTGATTTTGGTGTCAAAATATATGTAATCAACCATGAAGAATCCAAATTTGCATATATGCTGATACGATAATCACCACCTTAATATGTTTTTTAAACATATTATAACAATTGAAGTGATTTTAAACTGCTATGATAGATTCAAAGAAGGTGTCACTAACCATAGACACTTGAAGGATCGAGAGACTCCATTCCCCATCTACATTGGTCTGTCAGTGTTTACAAAGACCAGGACGAAGAAGTTCGAACAGATGCTCCAGGCAAAGGGATTAAGCATATCCTATGACTATGATCGAGTGCTGGAGATATTCGCCGAGCTGGGGGAAGATGCTGTTGTGTTTTAGTACATCAGAAATGGAGTCATCTGCCCCCTGGAGCTGCGAAGAGGACTGTTCACCACTTCGGCCACACACAACATAGACCACAATCCATCTGCTACAACATCAACGACATCTTTCCATGGTATAAGTTTATCGCTGTTCCAGCACCCCACCTCTGAGAATGAGGGAGAACAGCTGCAGAAATTGCAAGTAAGAGGTGTCGTGGTAAAGACAGTCCCAGAACTTCCAGACTTTTATGAGAACATCAAACCTGTTCATTTCACCAATTAGAGTCCATATCCTCCTCAAGTGACTAACATGACTCAACCAGACATGGAGATTTTGAAACCACAGCTGACTGGAGCATGAATGGTCCAGAAAGTCTCCATCCCAGAGGTCCATGACAATGTAAATATCTCATGGTCTTTCCATTACGCAGACAAGAAGAGGGGTCCTGCATTCAAAACTTGTACAATATATATCCACTATGCTGCCTCTGGTGAGAGACCAAGCCCGCTCTGCAGCTACAGTACGACATGTCATGGACAAGATAAGGGATGCAGGAGGTTTCTTAATCTCGGACAGGTGCCTGTGATCACAGCAGATCAGCTGATATATGCCACAGCCAAAGAGATCCTGTGACAGTGGCCTAAAGATTATGGCGAAAGTCAATTCGTCATCATGTTTGGAGGATTGCGCATTGAGATAAATGTGCTGCGTTCACTTCGTTTCCTCTTTCACGACAATGGATGGACACCTGCACTAAGGTGGGGGTAGCTTGATCTGGCTCAGCAGATTCTTTCCTATCAGCTGCAAGTCTCACCAAGACCCGCCAAACCCACCAAGTAACAGCGTGCAGCCCCTACCAGTTCTTGAAATCAGCCTACTCTACATATGTAGAAGAATTGGCTGACCCGAAGTTTTGAAGACTGATGTGAACATTGCAAACTACAGAGCACACAGTTCTGTTACTGGAACATTGTGCTGACAATGGAGTTAACTGTTCTGCTATTCATCAGGTCCTTGAGAACTTCCAACTTCAGTCTCTACCGTCAGGCCTTATGTCACTTGTCAGCTTATACCATATTTATTTGCAAACAACAACGTGAACTATGCACGGTGGCTTTCTATACACCTGATAGATCTGACTTAGGAGATTTCATGCTGGGACAGAGATTTCTCAGGAATGGCAGTTGACCAAGCACATGAACAAGCCAATGCAGTAATCAAAGGTGATGGAGGCGCAATCGGAATCACTGAAGATCCTTCAGCACTGAGAAGACAGTTGGTTGCAGGCCCTGCTGTGTCACAGCTTGTTGCACAGTATGAGGAGGCGTCAGTATTGAGGAATGTCTCAGAGCAGGCGAAACATCATGAACAGACACCCACCTGCCAGAGAAGCGTCCTGGAAATGGTCCAAAGGTTGACAAGCACGCTGGAGGACATGGGAAATCAATTTCAAGAAGAATCTGGAAATCTGCTCAGTCTGGACACCAATGAATGATATAGCATCCCCTTGTAGTGCAAATAAGATTGCTACTCACCCTTCAACTGGGAATTCATCTTTTGAGGCGCACTTAGAGACACTAAAGCATGAAGATACAAGCTCGTTCTATGCACTATAAAAAATTGACTTCTTTCAGCAATTGCTATTGAAGGATTTCTCAAAAGCCAGCTTTTCTCAAAATTATTCATTTCCTGTCAGAACAGAGAATGCGATCTACATGAGTTCTTCCGTCTCGAGTATCAGTCATGTCCTCTGAGTCATGGAGGAAGGCTGCATGTCTGCCAGAAGTCACAGTTAGCTGCCATACTGGATGACAAGGTTACACTGCAATCACGAACAAGTTGATACATGTACAAGAATCTTCCTACATTGGACACTGTAAAGTGGGGCTTCAAAACAGTCATGATAAAAGCCAATGACCTAGATGTCCTTGTGATTGCTGTTGTCACTTTCTCACAATTACAGGAACTGGGACTCCAGGAAATGTGGCAAGCTTTTGGGCAAGGACGAAATCTGAAGGGAATCTCCATGCATGAGCTCACCCCAGAGAGGAGCAGTGGTATTCTGCTCTTCCATGCCTTTACAGGCTGTGATATTGTGTCTGCATTCTGTTGAAAGGGCAAAAGGTCAGCATGGCAGACATGGGATGTGTGTCCGGAAGCTGTTGATGATGCACGACTGGAGATCTTTTCTAGGAAGCACAGATCCTACGAAGCTATTCCACCAACTTGTACTTGTACAGCCCTTGTTCAGCACATTAGACGTGCTGCATACCAGTCAGCATGCATATGGAGCCGGGCTTTGGAGTGTCAGTTTGAAGAGGAAAGTCCTGCAGAAGAGGGCTGGAAACAAGAAGAAGACTGCTGGAGTATCCTATGGTCTGAGCTCCCCCCAATTGCTCAGAGTTGCCAGCAGCTTACGAAATGCCGGTGCAAGACACTGTGTTGTGGACGTTGCAAGTGCTACAAGCTCAGTTTGAGATGCACAACAATGTGCAGCTGCACCTGCTGAATTTGAGTGATTAATGCTCAGCTGGTCATCATAATGATTTTACATGCAGGTTTACCATACTGTAGGCCTACTTTGCTTAGCTTACTACTTACTCATTTCTATTGTCATATATTACACTATGTAACATCTTGTTAAATATCAGTAAAAAATCTGCAAATCAGTGTTTGGTAGCTTTTCATTCTTTATAAAAAATTCCCTTTGTCACATTCTAACTCTCAATCGTCAAACATGTCAGAAACAATTTTGGTATCCTAAAAACTGGATAAGAAGAACCATAGATGCGCCAGAGAGTCTGTGAATGGCCATCATCTTAGAAAATGGCCGCCATTTTAGATTTTCACGTGGCTGGCAATCTTTTATGAAACAACAACCCAGAAGTAATGTGCATGCCAATTTTAGTGCTTGTATGACAATGTGAATGAAAAATAGAGGCACAGATATATATAATATATTCCAAAGAGCCCGCAAATGGCCGCCATTTTGGAATTTGTCGTGGTAAGCGTTCTTTTATGAAACAACAGCCCAAAAGTCAAAAACAATGTGCATGCCAATTTTGGTGCTTGTATGGCAATGGGAATGAACATCAGAGGCACAGATATACCAAAGAGCCCGTAAATGCCGCCATTTTGGAAAATGGCCGCCATATTGGATTTTCATATGGTAAACGTTCGTTTTATGAAACAACAGCCCAAAAGTAATATGCATGCCAATTTTGGTGCTTGTATGACAATGTGAATGATTTTACACTTAGCTGCCCCACTATTACATTAATTCTTATCTGCCTTGGGTTTTAGTCTGCTTTTATATAAATTTTGAGGAAATATTTTTTCCCTTACAGCCGCATTCATTGGATCCTTCGGGGTTTTTTCAATTCAGTGTATGTTTTCCAGAACTTGAAATTTGTTACTTACAAAAAAGGTTCTTCCAATCCTCCATTTTCTTATAGAAAATGTATTTGAAACTTTGGTGGTTTGAGGCACATAAGTCTCCAAATACTCATGAGAAGCTATGTAGATTTTCCAGCAGGACAGCCACTTGGTAGAACAGATACAATACAAATTGTGAAATCTTAGCATGAACCAGTGCTGACTTACTTTTTGATTTGTTCTTTGAGATGAGGCACTGTAGGTCTGTTGCTTTCCGCGCCACTGACACACAGCTTGATCAGCTCATAAAAGCTCTCAGAACAGCTTTCTGGCTTTTTGTGTTTCCCCTTCCAGGCTCCCTTTGCTATGTGTTCACAAGCCTGAAAAAGTAGTAGTCAACTATGATGTGTCCTTAGATCTGGAAGGATCATGTCCTTAAACACTGGAATGACTCCTTCCATCTTAAAATAAAGTGTCCAAGTGTTTAAGAGATTGACTATGATTTTTATGTTGCAAGTCACTCTGCTATGGGGTAAACCGCCACACTACAGGTATCATCTAAAACTCTGATCAATCAAATCAAAATCACTTTGAAAAAGACCATGGTCCAATTCATATAGTGTGTTGTAAGCTGTGGGGAGAGACCTATGGGGCTAACTTAACACTGTAAAGCACCATCAATGAATTCTTTTATTCTTAGGGGTTTTTTTTAGAAGCTGTAAGGGCTGCTTTCAACCTTTTAAATGATGTTACAATTTGCTTCTCAATCATTTAACCTAAGGCTCTTTTGCAAACAGAACTAAACAAGCTCCTAAGGCTGTTCAATGCTGCTACTTCATGTCAGAAACTTCCATCACATGTTGGTGTTTCTTTCCATCTCAAAAAGGCATCTAGAAGGCTCCTATCCTATTTTCACAAAGTCAGTCTGACCCCGGAGAAAGTTGCATTTGAAAATAGCAAAAGTTGCAAAAAGTTGCAAGAAAAATTAGCAAAAGTTGCGAGAAAAGTTGCAAGACGCATAGATCTATATATAGTATATAGCTAAAAAAACCATCAGGGAATACATTTTTGTTGGTATGCTCATTGCAATCAAAGTAACAAACATGAGTTTTGTTTGATCAAAATCAAAAGTAAAATGAAAGTCTACAAAAAAAACTGTGCACAAGCAAATGCCGAAGTATGAAATATAGAAATCTATTGAACTAGATTGTTGTAAAAATGCTCGTTGGAAATGTCTCTATGCAGGATATAAATTAGACAAGGTCTTGATACAAAATGAAAAATTCAATTGAAGTAAATCAATATCCACAAAGTAGTTGTAATACAGGAATAAAAAGGACTTGATTGTTCTTCAGACTGAGACCTGCACCTGCAGTTAACTAGCAATTTGTAGAGAGAGAAGCTTCTCTCCGCATCCATGTCTGTTGATGTGCATGTGAAAAAAAAGTAGTGCAAAGCCACATCAAAAAGGGATGGCACAAAATCGTGTTTACGATTGATTTACTGTAGTTCTAGATCAAGCTAGAAAGTGAATGCCTCTCTCTCACCAATCCGTTTCTTGAACATGTAATCAGGACTAAGGAGACAAAGGAGGTGGTATTTCTGGTACGAGTTGTCCTCCGCTATTTTTAGTCGAGGAAGAAAGTTTCAACAGACCTGCCACTCTATGAAATCTCAAAATCTGGATCTCAGGAGGAAAAAAATCAGGATTTGGTGAAAAAAAATTGGGATCAACAAAAGGACTGCCAAACTGACTTTAAAACATTTTCCAGGGGTGTCCATAAATATGCATGACCGCTGTCTATGTTTGCGTGTTTTATCAATATTATTTTTAAATCCTGAAGCATGACGTCGAGCACCTTAAATCCGCTTGTTTATTCCCCCCCCCCCCCCCTCCCAACCAATAAGTCCCAAAAGACATATCAACCAGTAGCCTATGCATGAATGGACGGTCCCAGACACACGCAGAACTCACACGACGGAATCATGTCACGTCGAAATCATGTCACGTGATACGAACGCGCAATTGAATTGAAACAGTTTTACTGATGGGTCCGACTATCTGCACGTTCACATCAAACACCCGGACAAGCGATGGTACTTCTATACCAAATATACTAACAAATCTCTTATCCCTCATTTGCGCTATCATCGGAGGAGTCTGAGTGTGGGCAAAGATCAAACACAACTTGGGGCGAGTCAACTGCTTAATCCGGCATCGATATTTCAGAAAATAACGCTCCAAGTTCCTACTTAAAAAGTTCAACGGGTGCTTCCCATGATACAAAAGAAGACAGAATAAGTTTTACAAAAATTCCGGCGCAACAGGCTGGAACAAAAATTCAGGATACACGGGATCAAAATCGAGAAAATTGGGATGCTTGAATTTTGGGGCAAAAATCAGGATATCCCAATTAAATCAGGACGAGTGACAGGTCTGGTTTCAGTTATTAAAGAAATATTATTATTTTTTACCCAACTATTGTGGAAAATTGGCTAAAACTCATGAACTCTGGAAAATTATAAAAGTTGCGCGCGCACGAATTCCCCTGAGGACAGCTTTATGTTCACGAGTGAAAATTGGAAAATGGAAAACCACTTGTGAATGATAACAACACTAAATCTTATGTAACAGAGATATGTTAAGCTGATAGCTCATTGACGGATGTTACAGATTCAGGAAAAGAGTGAAAAAGCAAAAATTTACAGCGATTTTTCAGCAGCAGACAACATCTAATCTGGATAACGCAAAAGAATCATTCATGTTTCCCATTTCTTCCTCCTTACTAAAGATGACAAAGATATGACAAAGGTAGGCTTTGCCACCTGAAAGTCATGCAGTATTTAATGTCATGTCTATGAGACAGGGGTTGATTTCAGTCAGAACTAGAACCTTGGTTAAATCAGAACATGTCTTAAAATCTAAGGTTCGGGAGGAAAATACAGTTAACTACCTCACTTTATAGCAAGAATTAGACCTTTGCCCACACATTAAGAGATAGGCAGTAACCATGGAAATTTGCACAACTGACTGCCATGAAACCTTTATAAAATTGCTCATTTTTTGTTGATTGGATTTTTTTATTTTTTTTTTGGGGGGGGGGGGGGGGGGGGGCTATCGCATGAATAAAATTTTGTAAAAATCTCTGTCTTAAACAGGAGTATTCAGGATGAAAACATTCCCTATTACGAAATTAAAGGCAAAAATGCTATTCCTGTGAAATATGGCACACTCAAAAAGTCCAAACTACTTTTCTATTACAAAATCTGTTGAGCAATAATCATAAGTAAAATTAGCTGTATTTCAAACTAAAGAAATAAATAATATTTTTTAAAACCACATTACATGTTCTTATCTTGAAAACAAACAAATGTGGAGAGGAGTTCAAGACAAAATATCAGAAGTACAAGCTGATCTTGAAAAAGGTTTTGTCATGCGTTTTAGAAACAAAAAATACGAATGATATGCTAATAGATGTCCAAAAGAGGGAACATATGAGAGTGTCTTTTCAGCAAAAATCACCAATTACTTTTAGTGAAATTGTTCAGAGAAAACTGAAATTACACATCTCAAAGACCAGTAGGGACCTTGATAATATAATCTTCGCTGCAACCTAAAAGGTTCACAATAAGATATATATTCAAATCAGAACATCAAGGAGCACTTTACTTTCACATCACCATACACATTTTTCTTGAACCATCGCAGTATGTGTATTAATTTACATCTTATTTTCCTTCTTTATTTTACACAAAATTTGGGGGGCTCTCATGGCCTCGAGGTTAAGGTGTTTTCTCCTCATTCAAAGGACCCAGGTTCGAATATGGGTAGCAAAGGACAAATTTTCTTCTCCAAAATTGTCTCCTTTCACCTCCTTTCTTGCTCTCCAACAATGTTCTGTTATCTGCTTTCGTCTCCACTTTCTGCCCCCACCCCCTCATCTCCTTTGCCCCCTCCTCTGGGCTCCAGACTCTTTCTACAGCCTTTCTATTGCTATTCCTTGGCTCCTTCTTACTGCTGTCTTTCAGCCACACCCCTGATCTTCTGGTAGGAATGACCTACACCTAGCCTTCTCGGAAAAGGGTGAAAAATCTCAGAGGTCCCGTATGAAAATTGCCCACATTAAAGATCCCTTGGTGGTCTAAAATCGATAAGAGTAGGCATCAGCCAGCCGCTAATCGGGCGAAATTCAAAATTTCCTACCAACTGAAAATGTTAAATGTGTCCCGCGCGCTCATATAACCATATGCTGTTGCCAGCGCTGCAAAACATTTATCATTTTTTTTTTTTTCAACCCCACAAAATTTCTATTCCAACAGTTAAATACCCTGAATATTTTCGCTATACTTGTGAACTATATTTTTATATACGATCTTTGCCAATATCATATGCATGACAATGCCAAATAGGATTTTTATTGAACAATTCACGGTGTTGTGAACATTTGACCACTAAGGGCCACACACTACTTCTTAGCATTACAATTAAGTGATTTTTACTTGCTTTTTTTCTTTTTCTCAAAGTATTCCATTCAAGGATTAAAAATATTAGGTTTAAGAAATCATTATCAGTCACATAATCATAGAAATGGCAAATAAGAGTCAAACCAGATTATCTGAAGGACCGTTTTCAAAAGCTAAAAACTAAAAAACTGCCCATGCTAACAATGAATTTAAAAATTTGAAAACAAATCTTAAGGAAGAAAATGACCCTAGCTTTTCTTGAAATTGTATATTTTAATAATTTTTATAACTTTTTGAAGACTTGCTTATTAAACCGAATGACATAAAGAGTCAAAATAGCAAAGTAAAAATTTTTTTTTAAATATGGTTTTTTTTAAATTAGAAAAAGCTAGCATTATTTTATTTGAAACTGCATAAATGGTGCTTGTACGCTCCAAATTTCATGTCTTTTTCTTGAATGGTTAATAAGTTTTTACCTTTTAAAGCCATAAAATGAACATTTTGAAAAAAGGTGCAATAGCATTTCAAAATTGCTTTAAAGCATTGTATTGGCTCACAATGATACAAATTTTATGGAGCTATCTCTTTGAAATAGAACTTTGGGAGTACCTCCATTTGATTTAGCACATAATTTTCACGGGAAGTTTCTTAAATCCCCCCAAAACATGGTCTGGCCTCAAACTGGACTCCAAAAGCCCGTGTGTGGCCTTAATAGGGGGGTGCCCGTTGGCACGATCGGTTTGGTTCAGTTTGGTTTGATCTGTTTGGTAGGCGGAGCTAGCCAGATAGAGGGCGCAAAGTGACCATTATGGCACAAACTGATCGCCCGACTCGCAGCTTCAAAAACAACTGAGTTTGTTTTCAGGCCACGAATCGGATGATCGGTTGGCAATTGGTTTGTCAGTCTGCCAATAAGCACTCTGTATGAGCCAACTTTTATTTCATTCCATGAATGTTGAGCCCCCTCCAGCATGTCAAAAACTCACCCTGTATTGTAAGCACCGCCTAAAAAATAGGGTCGATTTTGGAATCCAAGTGTACCCCCTTGTGGTCTATATTACCCTAAAAACTTTGGACCAGATGTTGTGCTTCTTCCAGGGAATCAAAATATTTCAAACAAAACTGACATCCAATTTCTTTCAAGTGTATGCCAACGGTTTCAAAGGCATGAATGTAGCAACAAAAATGCAAATTAGTTTTTCTCTAAAGAAAAATTAGATATTTACCGCTGCTTGGGGTTCTTGGCTGTAGCAAGAGCTATATTCAGAAGAGTCATTAATGACCCTCAGTAATTCCTCTTCTCTGTCCTTGTGATCGTAGGCCGTCAGAACCTCCCAAGCAAAGTTTCCAAAATTGAATACATCAGCTGCCGCAGAATACAAGCCACTGCTATTCACTTCTGGTGCACCTCTGTTCAAAAACAATGTTCATACATCAACATATTTCATCCCCAGGTGTTAATAAAGTAACAAATTTCACTTAGCGCATGTGTGTAATTGACCAATACAACAGACTCCGGTTAATAAGACAGTACCGGAGGGAATAAAAATTTGGTCAAGGTATCGAGACTCAAGAGTGATAGTGATAGCGAAGGATGGACTTTTATTTCACATCTTTTTGTAATAACATAAACTGTTCCTTGAGATTGTTTCAGCATTCAGCGTGATTCTGCATCATTAAACTAAAAAAGGGAACCACACAACTAGACACAATCATCAACTATTTAGCCAATAAAACAAACTGGAACTTAAAGATACATGTGAATTTGTGTATATGTGTGTGTGTGTGTGTGTGTGTGTGTGTGAGCGTGTGTGTGTGTGTGTGTGTGTGTGTGTGTGTGTGCACGTCATCATGATCATGAGTCCCTTAACCCTTCCAGGGATTATGGGGACGCTGCATTGCTGAACGCTACACCAGTTATCTCCACCTCTGACAGTCATGGAATGGATCATGGCAAAGCTCTTCCTGGCCACTTAGCAATGTTGTCCGCCCATTTCTTTCTCTGCCTGCCTCTTCTTCTTCCACCATGAACTGTCCCTTGGAGAATGGTTTGCAATAGGCCACTGGCTTTTCTTACATGACCATACCATAGAAGTTTTCTTTTCTTGATGATGGTAAGCAGCTCTCCGAAATTGTTCATGTGCTTTGTGATGTTTGCACACACTGCTTCATTTGCAATTTGTTCTGTCGATGAGATACGAATTACTCTTCTAAGACATCTCATTTCCACTGCTTGGATTTTACTCTGCAGGTCTGCTGAAAATGTCCATGTCTCAAATGCATATAAAATTAAAAAGATTGACAAGACTAATTCAAGCAGTAGCTTCAGTTTAAGTTTAATTGACAAGCTGTTGATTTTGTTTCTCCACATTGGTTTCAGTTTTGCCAGTGCCTCTGTTTTCTATGACGCTCTTGCAAGGATTCCGGTCTTTGAGCCCTCTTCATTGAGCATTGCTCCAAGGTACTTGAACTGATTCACAGTTTCGAGTTCCTGTCCACAGACTGTGATTTTCTTCTCAATGGGCTTTATGCTGTTTAGCTTGAGATTGTCTTTTCAGCATTGATTTCCATGCCATATCTGGTAGACGTCTCGTCCAGGTAGTTCATCAGATTGGCAAGTACTTGTTCTTCTCCCATCAGGCCATCAATGTCATCAGCAAACCGAAGGCTTTTGATAGTCACCCCCACCAATGATGGTTGAGTTCTGGTGTTCTTTAAGGGCATCTATCATTAAGTGTTCAAAGGTCATTATGTGAATAAGGTCAATGAGAGGAGGCAGTCCTGGCAGACTTCAGCTGCTGTGTGGAACCAGTCGCCCACTATGCCTTGCATAAGTACTGCTCTGCTGGTCTTTGTGTACAGCTGTCTGATAGTGTTAATCAGCTTTTGGTCCATGTTGTATTTGTTTATTGTGGTCCATAATACATCATGCAACACACTGTCAAATGCCTCTTTAACCCCTTCGTTGCCTTATGACGTACGTGGTACTTCATGCAAATGCGTAATTTTTAGCGAAGTAAGCCACAGAATTTGGTACAATTTGCCACTATTGGTTGCCTATATGACGTTACGTGTATGTCATGCTAATAACCTGACTCTTAAGTCTTCTGTACAGAGTTTTAGCCACAAGCGCTGCGTAGATTTGTATTTGGGAATAAAAGACGCACATATCGGTACCAAATTTGCAAGTATTACTTTACTGCTAGGCTTGCAAGAAATCGATAAACACAGATCTACGCTTGTGGGTGGCTGTGTGCTCACGTAAAGCGTAGGTTTCAGTGTTTTTTGAGTGGAAGTTTAGATGTTGTTTTTCTCTGTTAGTTGTCAACGTCCATTGTTACTTTGTTACAGATTAGGTAAACAAAACAGTGACCAGCCACCTCACATACGATTTGTGCATGAGTTGTGGGCGAGGCTTGGTTATGACGGATCACACGCTTCCCTCATCAGCAGTTGAAAATTAATTGTTAGGCCTATCCATTGGTCTACTTGGGTAAACATTCATTGGAGGGATTAACAATAATGACAGGTGAATGATTAAAAATTAATAACAAAGCGTCGGGCGATGAGTAACCACGGCTGGTCGCCTGAGGCAGGTAAATTTGACCATGGGTTGATAAATGAGATGGCCGTGGCCGCGTTGGACAGGTGACCATTTTTTTACACAGTTAAATTATATAGTAGTAAAAACACAAGGAGGGAAATGGGAAGTGGCCGTTTGTACAGGTGACCGTATTACACAGGTGACCGTATTACACAGGTGGCCATCATGGCAGGTTGGACTGTATTATGAAAGGGTGGAGGGTGTCAGAAGCTCTGTAAATGTGTAAATTATACAGAAAGCTTTTGATTAAAATTTATATGTGAGGCAGCGCTGTGGAATCAGGCTCTCGTCAATTTTGGGGCATACAGCGGCATTGGTATCATCTTAAAATTTATTCACTTGTCTTTATTTGGATGAAAAAAATATACATTTATCTTGAATGCAAGTCGAGATATTTGCGAAAGAAGGAGGTGGGGTCACCTATTTTCAGAGGTAAAATTAGTGAGAAAATGGCCGCCAAAGATTTGTTATTTCCTCAGCTTAAGAGTCTGTGGTAACTGAAAATTTACATTTTTTGTGCCTTTAATCAACATTTTTTAGAAAAATCCACACAGAAATTAGTCCTTTAATGGGAATGAAAGGTGTTGAGCCCAAAAACAAAAATTTGATAAAAATTCACAAACCTGCGGAAAAATGCAAGTTTCTTTGCTTTGATTATTTAGACGTGAGCCTGATTCCACCACGCTGCCTCAAATATGGATGTCAGTCGGGTTGAGAAAATATGAATCATCAAGTTTTATCTTAACAGGTTCTCTAATTGAAATGCCATTATTTTAAAGTGCAATTCTCCTTTTAAAATGACATGATTTGGCAATATATATTTTTAGATGTCTCCCTTTTTTAAGAGATTGTGATTAATTTTTATTACCAGTATCTAAGAAAAAAAGATGAAGATGAACTTTACCCATATATGAGGAATACTGACCCAGCAGCAAATTCATATTTTCAAAATATATGTTGAAAAAAAATGAAACTTCAAACATGCATTTTCTCAGCAAGAAGAAAAAGCTTCAAATGCAATTCATACCAACTATCGGCTCTGTAACAGTTTCTTACAGCCAAATTTAAAGACATCTTGCGTGTTCAAAAAGTATAGAAAGGGTCAAGGTCAAATGCCCCTTTCAACTCTGTTTTTAAGAAACTGAACCTCTGAATTTGATTTCTATCTCCATTAAGACCAAACCAAGTAAGTGAAAAGCAATAAAACTTCCCAAACAGCCCAGATTCAAGAACACCCCATTCAAGATTCAAACCAGAGTCATCTACACAATAGCAAAACATTGTTTTAAATGAGTAAACAGCACATGTTCAAAAGTTCCGGGTTCTAAGAGAAACAATTTTGAACAAATAAGCACTTCTACCTTAATAGCAACAATTTTTTGCTCTATCTCCTAGATCAAGTTAAGAACAACCCATTTATGACAGTAGAACATCACACTGCTATGCAATCATCCAGTTTTTATTTCAACATTTAACAACTAACCTTGCCACAACGTCAGGATTTGTGGGCCTTGGCATTTCCTCAGAGAGCTCATTTTCCTCATACTGACTGAGAAAAACCAAGTGTGCCAGGGATCCAACATGCACCTGGAATAGCAAAAGGAATTATTCAACCCACAAATTTATAATTGTTGTCTATACCATGGTCTTCTGAACATTCTTTTCAAATCTCAAGAAAATGGGTAAATAATAATAATAATAATAAAAAGCATTTGTATAGAGCATATCCCCACTCAAATCAAGCTCTATGCGCTTTACACTATATTATTACCCCAGCAGACCATAGAACACTCAGAAACATTCTCAGCTTCCTGGGGAACAAACAGTGCAAGCAGCTGATTAAGTGCTCAAACACTAACAAACTGACAAGATTTTTCATGGTCTATAGCTGGGTACGAAAATACCTAATCCCATCTGGGTGAAGTGAGGAAAATTTGTGTAAAGTGCCTTTCCCAAGGACACAACATCGAGCCCCTGACAGGATTCGAACCCACAATCTTACAGTTGCAAGTCCTTGAGCCTAACCACTCGGCCTCCAATGCCACAACACATTAACTCACTGGAGACAGTTTACGCAGTATTTGCGAGCACCAATATTTCCCAGAGAGGCCGTTCATGCACCCCCTGCGAGCACAAGTTTTGCTTTTTTCCTCGGCAAAGTATGCACGCAAATATTGCGTGAACCATCTCTTACCATGCAGCCCACCATTGTTTCGCTTCATGCGAAGTTTCACCGGAATTGGCTGGAAACTTTTTGAGTTATCGACCCAGAAGGAAAGTTAGTCACACTGAGGCCTTACTTTTGTTTCTCTGAAGGTGTTGGTTCTCGCAACACTTTGTCAGTACAATGGCAGCACGTTTAGTTTTAGCAAGTTTTACGGTACTTGCAACACAATTAGGTCGAAGATTAGGTGTTACAAGAGAGCAACAAACACAAAAAAAGGAGGAGAGATCAGGACGATAGATCTTTGATAGGAAAGAAGGAGCAAACCACACCAGAGCACCCGCCAACCACCCACTTTGCAGCACGAAAAGCAAACATTTTTCAAGTGTTTGCACAACTTTGACAGTTTAAAAATTTCTGATTATGATATTTTAGACCATGGGGATCCTGATTTCAATGTAAATGAGCATCAAAGCACTGATCTGATTCTGATAGCAAATGTTCTAGATCTAGACTAGGCTTTCAAATGCAAAATTCCGCTTTGTCTGGAGCCCTGTTTTTTTCACACTGAAGTGGACTAGACAGCTAATCCATAAGGACTACCATATCGATTACTTGCCTATTTATGAGTTTGGACTTTTTATTCATTTTGAAACACAAAACACAATAAAAGACACACACAAGATTAATTTTTGGCGATTTTGTGAGGGTTTTTTTTTAATAAGACATTATGTCAAAAAATTTTGGCGAGCAACACATTTTAGCACATTTTCAAAAAATCATTTCTAAAAAATGTAAAAGATGTTGCCTTTCTGTTTTTTTGTGTCATATTGGGCATGTTTAGATCTGTTATGTGTGTAAAAATGGCGGTTGTATGTCTTTGGGAAGGGTGTTGTTTGAAATATTGAAATACCCCCAAAAACGCCAGTCTTCAGCGTACGTAGACCCCAAAAAGGCCCAGTCTCTAGTGAATAATAAATAACAACAGTTATAGTAGACTACACTGAACAAGTATTATCTACCTCATAGGAAAATTATTCCTCAAATGAAACGGGTAATTATTTCATTTACAACCTCTGACATGTCATGTGCTCCATTGCCAAAATTAACATATATTAATCAGAAAGAGAGGGGCTCTTTAACAAAGAGCAAATGAGTTGCTTTCCTGGTTCAATTCCCAGTCCATGCAGGGATTGTTGGTGTGGGCTGAAAACATGGGGGGACTCTGATTGTTCATATGTCTGATCACAGGGTAAGTGGGACTGAAACCTAGTCTTCTTGTGCAAGGCCAATAAAAAGTGGAATGTCTTTTAGAATAGAACACAGTAGATTGAAAGGCTAAGAGCACAAATGTGAAGTGAGAAGACAGATCAGTTCGACAACTTTGCATTCACAGAGAAAAAAATACAACCAAACCAGACAGGTCCTAACTTCTTGTAACAAACTACAGGAAAAGAAAGAGGAAGGGGGGGTATTATTTTATGTTTAAAATTTTCAACAATACCTTAACATCATTCTCCAGACACTCCACATACACATTTGAGGCACATAAGTCTCCAAGTACCCATGAGATGCTGTACAGATTTTCCAGCAGGACAGCCACTTGGTAAATACAGTACAAATACAGTCTTGGAGAGTTCTTGCCAAGTAGCCTTTTTACCGTGACTTCTTGGAGGTTTCCAATGCAGCCGGACGGCAGTGAGAATTCCTGTTCAAATATTAAAGGAAGGTAAAAGTTGACATACCTTTACAAAATAAAGCAGGAATTAATATAATAATACCTTAAGAAATTTGGAAAATGTTTATTAAATATTAAATTAATGATTCCCTCCCACAAGCCATACACTGTGCCAGCTACATACTGATGCCACCACCAAGCACAACAAGGTGCCCCACACACAATACTGACAATAAAAAATTCAAAATTAATATGAAACTACAATTAGCAGTTTGTTTCTGACTCTGCATCCTTATCAAGTCCTTTCCAATGTGAAAATTGAGTCTTGAAGGCAAATTTGGAAAGATTTTTAGGTTTCTTTTCAGTTTGACCTGATTCTGTGTTTGGAAAGGAATATATGGAGGATAAATCATCAACACCAGGTCAGTGCATGAGTGCTGTGAGAGCATTAATTTAAGTTACATCTTTCGTGTGAACAAAAACTTGACATTGAAAAGAATTTCTGTGAAGAGAATGATATGTCAGGTGGAAGTGACTATTTTCATTCCGGAAAAGTGTGTAAAAAGTGTAAATTTTATTACAATTTTGCATTGAAATTTGCTTGGAAAATCAAGGTTCACGCTGCTGTTCATACCTACCTCACCAGAAAAAAATTTGTCAAAAACAACTAAAGACACTTTGCTCAAAACTATCCATTGCCAGTAAATTTTGTAGATTATAATGTGTGCAAGTCTGGGAATCATGTGCATGTGTTTGTGTGTGTGTGTGTGTGTGTTTGTGTGTGTGTGTGAGTGTGTGTGTGTGTGTGTGTGTGTGTGTTTGTGTGTGTGTGTGAGTGTGTGTGTGTGTGTGTGTTCTTGTTGTTAAATGGCTTCACAATGTGCATTTTCTGTCCTTTGATTCGTCAGCAGAGCCATAATTTAGCATTGTATAAATTCCCATTATTATCATTCATTATAATTATTTGGTATAGATTTATAATACGTATGGCATCATGATGAAATCTATCGCTAGCCGCATGATTCAACCGCCAAAGTACAAAATTTTTGAAAATCACTTTTTGATCCCTTTACATAGGCTAGTACAGCCCTTGATACACATCATGTTGAAATCCCGAGTTTGAAAGATTACTGCAAAGTGTTTCAATCCTTCAGTAAATCAATCACCCATATCATACAGTCCTCAATTTCCACGTGATTCAGCCGCCCAAGCGCCGGTTTTGCAGCCCGGTGGTAAATGGGTGGTTGAATCACACAGATTTTGTGGCTCGTTGATGTGTTCACCTGTCAGGTAGGCGGCATGACCTACCCGATTGCGGCCTTTGTCAAAACAGACTGAGGGTAACATCAAAACAACCTTTGCTAACTTCGACTCAGATCAAGCCCTATCGATAGCCAGACGATTTTGTCAAGGCAGTTTGCGTAATCTATCACTAGGTTTGGTAGTGTCGTTGATAAAAGGAAAGATGGCATCAAATAATGTTAATACTGAATCGGCCAAGTTGGTAAAATGTGGCAAAAGCTACTGACGAATGAATCTTTTTAAAAGTCTTTGATTGACAGCTGAGGGGCACTTATTTCACATTCTGTACAACTATTGGAAAATATTTTTATCACGACTTTTCGCGTTTCTTAATTTACTTTAAGCGCACGCCCCTTGCTGTGTCTGTCATGTACCATTCTTGAATCATTGATTAGTTCAATCAGTGCCGGGTAGATGATACTTAATTTGTCACTCGAAAAAAAAAGCCACTCATAAACATATACGCCCTGAAAATTCTCTCTTCAACAATCTTTCAGCTTCCACTCTCCAGCTCTACTCTTCAAATTGAAACAAATCTCCCGTGACTTTCTACCTGTATGCAAAACAATGAGTTTGTATGCAACTGCCCTCATACAGTGGTTTTCATGACTGTTACAAAGGCAGTTTACTTGACTTGGAGATGGGAGCTCCACAATTGTCAAATTACCAGAGAACAGAAGAGGACAAGCAGTTTTGTGACAAGTAATTCTTTGACAAACTTGACGACATTGCTTTCCTATTACTACAGACCGAATACAGGCAAAATCTATCTTATCCAACACTTTCAAAGCCTTGGAGGTTTTTATTGGGAGAACCAAAGAAAAGGAGATGAGTCACACATTGTCCCAGACGACTTTAGAGAGTAAAAAAGAGCAACCTATTGTTGCATGTATGTTGGAAGGATCAATGTGAAGTATGCAAGATAGGAGAAAGAATCTAACAAGAAACTTGCATAAAACCCAGTGGATGGGACCAGATTATGTCTAGTGTGCAAGGACTTGGAAGCGGATTTGTTAGTATGGCGTTGAATGCATCTACTGCATTATATCATAACAGAACCAAATTAGCTGTCTATATTCTTTAAAATTTGGTAACCAAAGATGTGAAGTGTCACGTTTGGCATGAAGGAGAAGGACCATTGATTACCTATGAATTCTCTTCTTGTGTAAGTGACGTCCTGGAGGAGCAGAGCCTACATTCGTTACATATAGTGATGGTTGTACTTATCAGACCACAACACTTTCTTGTCAAATGCAATCAGCGACATTTGTACTATACAGGACAAAACTGTTGAACTCAAATACCTTGAAAAAGAACAAACGCAAATGGAAGTGGACAGCACACACAGTGCAATCAAAAGGTCCATGAAAAATGACATGGTCTAAGTGCTCCTGGATAATCTTGAACGTTTTTAAGAGAGCAAGACAATACTCCCCCCCCCCCCCTTTTTGATGTTCGATTTCTTGATCATTCAGACCTGGCTGAAACAAAAACGACCCCATTGTCACAAACGTTCGTTGCGTGATTCAAACACCCAGATGCCGTCATGTTGTCACTTAGGCAGTTGAATCACGCAGATTTTGGTAGGTGTAAACCACCTATGTCCAGTAACTTATGTAAGAAAGCTTTTCTTTTTTTAAGTTAGTTACAGTCCATCGTCCTAGGACATATGTGAGGTGTGCAGACAAAATGAGTTTTCTTTCCGGCTTAAGTCGTATGAACATTACAACTTCAACTTTTTAGGGGGAGTTTGTGCAATTTGTAAGTATGGAATAATAAAAGACACGGTAGACTTGAACAAAATGGCATCAACTAACAATCTTTAAATCTGGCCCCAGTGTTGATTTTCGGTCAATATCTCCATCCTTGGATCGCGAGAAGTAACTCATTTTGTCAGCACGCCTCACATATTATATCATATATCTGAATTTCAGATTCACAGGTATGAGCATAAAGAAATAAAACAGTTTTTTGCTTCTCCTGAAAAATTTGTCTCTTGGCACTTAGGCAGTTGAATAACGCGGCTAGCGATATACATAATTGCGTACATGTGGATGGTTGTTTTTATAGCTGAAAACACTATGGAACGTAGAACCATGAAAATATTACTGAAGGTACCGTAGTTCAAAGACCAAGCTAAGTTTCTATCAATTCAGTAAACTGTAAGTGCTTGCATTCGCCTAAAAAATTTAGGAAAATAGAAAACATTATCGTCCGTTTATGAATTTCCCGTTCATCATTTCAATGCAGTGTTAAAGACATATTTGCATTTTCCATGATATAAAAATTGCGCTTCCGCCGGAAATCAACAAATCTTCTTTGGGCACCTACAGTTGGTATGTTGCTGATCGCTTACAGAGAGTTACTTTTCTAAGGTAGTTAGACTTAGAAGATGTATCTTTGTGATAGATCTAGGTCTAGATCTAGAGATACTATATGCCACCAAACCGCAGCTTTGATTATGATTGGCATCTGTGCTGTGGTTAAGCCTGTGATAGACTTTAATTTAGAGGCTGTGCTGTGGCCTTGTGGTTAAAAGACCAAGACAGTATTATCAGGTGTGTGTTGGGTGGGCAGTATCGATTCATATGGACTTCCGATTGCACCTTGACCATCAATAATTTATTTATAGAGACACCAGCCATCCATGTCCTGGTGCTTTTAGCCCTTCTGATTGCACGAAGAGATGCTGCAGAGAGAGTAGAGCAAAACTACCGCTGAGAAATCACCTATGATGTAGAAGAACAAAGACAAAGGGCATTGAGAAATTAACCATGCACTGTTAACATCAGACCAGAAGTATGTATTTGACACTTTCATGACAGCTGTACAGAACAAAGCAAAGGTTGACGCCCCAGGCGGGTGCGGGAAAACATTCCTTCTAGAAACCATACTGGCAACAATTCAATCTGAAGAAAGAATTGAAATTGCAACAGCCAGCGGTGAATTAGCTGCAACACTCATTACAAGGGGTAGAACTGTACTCAGTACCTTCAAAGTATCTTTAGATATACCTAGATGTGACACACAAATCTGTCTGCCCCGCACAATATCAGTCGTAAGACGCACAGTACTATTATCAGCTACGAGGCTTGAAAGACAAAAAAGTGACTTTCCATGAAATTTTTGTTTTTTGGATCTATTGAAAGTTTGATGTCTTCTGCTTCATTTAAGATAAAAATAAATAACTATAATCGACTATAAATATTTTATTTTGATTTATTTTGAAGATGTGTGTGGTTTGTTTGCAAGCCTGGGTGACGAGGTAAAGGAATTTGGACCTTGCTAGTGTGCAGCTGTGAGATTATTTTTAGAACCACTACCTCATGGCCATCTTTGCTTCAACCAAAGATTTTCCACTAGTGGAGTATCTTTGCTTCAACACTCTTCATTCGTAACTATTTTTAGATTTTAACCCCTTTTTGAGCATGAATGGTCAGAAATGTAAACAACTTTGATGAGTAAAACTGAGTAAAAAAAGTAATTTCTAGCTCACTTCAAGCTTGTTTACATAAACAGCTGACTGTGTGGGCGTGCCCTGCTCGCTGTTATTGTCTGTTGATCTTTCAGTTTTACACTTGGCTTGACTTTAAAGATTCGTTTTTATTGTGTTTTAGTGCTTTCAAAAGATTAATTAACCTTCCTTTAGATCTCTCAAAGCAGACTCCTTACCAAGAGGCCAGCAAGGCGGTCTATGTGCATGGGTGTGTATGTGTGTTGGTGTGTTT